TGCTTATAGCTTTTCGAGGCCGATGTAAATTTCGCCAATACATACCTTCGAAACCAGCTAAATATGACATAAAGATTATTGCTCTTGTAGATTCCGAAAAGTTTTATATCAAGAACCTTGAAATATATCCAGGAAAACAACCTGAAGGCCCATACTCTCAGAGCAACAAACCGTTCGATGTCGTAGATCGCATTGTACAGCCCATATCTAAAACCAATTGTAATGTAACCTTTGACAATTGGTTTACAAGCTACGAAACTATCCAGCATTTGCTCCAGCATCACAAACTAACATCTGTCGGCACGTTACGTAAGAACAAGAGACAAATCCCTCCGGAATTTACTAAAACACGTGGAACGGAGGTGTATGCGTCTCGATTTGGTTTCCAAAAAGACTGTACCATTGTTTCCCATGTTCCTAAAAAAAATAAGGTCGTTTTACTGATATCAAGCTTGCACCACGATGACGCTATTGATGTTTCAACTGGAGAAAAGAAAAAACCAGAAATCAACACGTATTACAACTGCACCAAATGTGGCGTGGATGTAGTCGATGAACTATGTGCCACGTATGACGTGAGTCGTAATTCGAAGAGGTGGACCATGACCATTTTTTATGCAGTACTGAACATGGCAGCTATCAATGGGCTTATAATACACCGAGTAAATAATAATTCAAATATAAAACGCCGCCGCTTCTTGAAAAACTTAGGCCTAGCTCTTGTGGGAGATCATATGAAAAAACGCAAAGACGTTGTGCAATTGCCTCGAAAAATGCGAAAAAAGATCGGTCGATTCGTTGGCGAAACTTCAGCAGAACCTCCAGCAAAAAAGAGCAATGTTCGCAGGAGATGTCAGGTATGCCCAGCAAAGAAAGACCGCAAAACAACCCATACATGTAAAAAATGCAACAAATTTATTTGCCCCGAGCACGTCCTACCTTTATGCTCTGACTGCTTCGACAATGATGAGTCTGATTAAAATTATTGATTGTTTCTCAAAAGACACATAATCTTAGTTCCTAAAAATGCAAAGTACATTCAAGACTGATAAAAAAATTATTATTTTTGTTAGTTTAGGTAAAATGTGATTAAACTGTTGATTTTTTTTAGTTATTTTGGAAAGAAGTTTAATAAAAGTAATTTAGTAGTTGTAATTAATATTTCTGTTTTTTTTTTTGCTAAATCTTTTAACAAAAAACCTACATTATTCAAGAAATAAATATTTTGCTTTAAAATTATTGAAATATTATAAATCAAAAATATGGGCTAGGATGACCCACCCCGGTGTCCGTGTAACAATTTTCCACCCCCATGACGCCGGGTTAACCAAAAGCTTTGTCAACGGAATACAAACCTAATTATGTAATTCTAATTAACAACTACCAGAAGTCCATTTAAAGGGATGCCACTATTGAGTTATATGTACTACGTACTAGAGAAGCCATTCCAAACAAAAATTGTGTCCTACTCTATGTATTCGCGCATGCGCGGGAGTAGTAGTCGCGCATGCTCGAAGACTTTAATTTGATATAAAATAAGATATTAATATAAAATTAATATTAGGATTTAATATAAAATATCTTAATTTAATCTAAACAAACATATTTCTAAATAAAATGTTATAATAATTATTTTATGGAATTCACAAATTTTCAATTTACGCAAAATTTAGTTTGTATGGATTGCACTACAGTTCAGTTGAACATAGTCAATGTTCGGAATGGATTCTCTAGTACACTACGTACTACATATAACTCAATGGATGCCACGGTTAACATGTGTCGTGCATATCACCGGTCTTTACAAAACCTCAGATATATTATGCAGCTATGACACACTAGATGCTATAGATCACTGAACACAATTACTCTCTATCGTGAGCTATAGATATACACACACCTATGGCTTGAATAGTTTTCTATTTTTGGATGTCAACTGTCAAACTCTATCTATGGCTTAACATTGGAGAATTGGATACTCTCCGCTATAAATAACAGGGGAAAATAATATTATTTTTAAATATTTATTGCATGCCTTAAGCGCGAAGCGCGCAGGTATGTTCTGCTAAGGCCTAAAAATTAAGATTCCAACGTTTTTTATCATGAAACCGTATGTAGCAATCATATTATACATATAAATTATATAAAAAGTACATAGTCAGAAATATAAATGATTATTGAACTTATTAATATTTTTTTAATCGATTAATTGCTATTTTTATATATAATAAAAAGAGTTTTGCTCTAAAATGACGAAATTTTCGGTGGTTTTAGCAGCCTTTATTTTACTAAATGGGCCGAAGCCGCACTCCGTGCTACAGTCACAGAGTACTTTATTTACCTCCGGCCTCAAATGCGGTTTAGAATGGTTGTTTGTTACAGCGGCTCGCGCTGAAAAATATCGATCGCCGTAGAAATACAAAATATTCCAAAAACCAAATTTGATACATATTTGACCATGGCAAGATACTGTTATTATTTTTATAATCACAGATTTTTAATACAATATTTTGTTTCGCTAAAAGTAAATTACTTATATGTTTTGGACTTTATAGACCTGAAGGTGTATCGGTATTTGCTACTGGAACTCCTCGACGAAGAAAACAAGATGTGCCGAGTTTGACCTCGTTTTGTTAGTTATGATGAGACCTTACCTCAGGGCTTGATAGTGTGACTTGAAAGTGTACTTTGAAGACTGCCACTGGGACTCATCGACGAGGGGAAATATATATGCCGATTTTGGGCTCGATTTGTTAGTTATAAATAGAGCTTACCTTCGGACTTGACGGAGTGACTTGAAAGTGTACTTTGATGACTGCTACTGGAACTCCTCAACGAGGAGAACTAGATGTGCCGAGTTTTGCCTCGTTTTGTTAGTTATGATAAGACCTTACCGCCGGGCTTGATGGCGTCACTTGAAAGTGTACTTTGAAGACTGCCACTGGAACTCTTCAACGAGGGGAACTAGATGTGCTGAGTTTTGCCTCGTTTTGTTAGTTATGATGAGACCTTACCTCTGTTCTTGATAGCGTGACGCTAGCGTGAGTTTGTTATTTTTTGTGTTATCTTACTAAATACACTTTGCCTTCTTCACTCCGGGCCATAGATAATATACTGTATAGTAAATATGGTTAAAATATATTTTAACTAATGAAATAGATGGTTAAAAAAATTAATAAATTATCATATTCCAGTTCATTCAAAACAATCCACGACGTTACTGATTTGAATTAGCCGCATTTATGCCATCTAGCGTCTTCATCTTCATCTACCACCGTGAGTCGATCTATTTTCGTTCGATAAAATGACTATACCAATTAAATGGAGTAGATGGCGGTTTACAAATCCATTTTATTCGAAAGAAAATATAGTTTAAAAACATCAATAGATGTATTCTTTTGATTTATTACATTAAAATTTAGGCTTCACATGTCTAATAAATGAGGATTTTAATAAATATTTGCTATAAAATCAAACTCATATCCAATATTTTAAACTCAAATTGTGGTTGAAAATTATCATATTAAATAAATTGTTTGCCGTTAAATCTTTTGAAGTGTTATTTTTACTGAACTGTACGAAATTATATTTTTAACACATAGATATAATTACTGACTGAATTCATTAGTGGCTGATGTTAATTTTATGTACTTTGTTGTTACGCTGTTGGCTGAAATATTGGTTGGTATTAATGTAAACGAAGCGCGTCAGTTTAATGTTACTTAAGTATATTTATACTTAAATACGTCTTTGACGTTTACGTCTTTATATATGCCGATTTTGGGTTCGATTTGTCAGTTATGAATAGAGCTTACCTTCGGACTTGACGGAGTGACTTGAAAGTGTACTTTGATGACTGCTACTGGAACTCCTCAACAAGGAGAACTAGATGTGCAGAGTTTTGCCTCGTTTTGTTAGTTATGATAAGACCTTACCTCCGGGCTTGATGGCGTCACTTGAAAGTGTACTTTGAAGACTGCCACTGGAACTCTTCAACGAGGGGAACTAGATGTACCGAGTTTGGCCTCGTTTTGTTAGTTATGATGAGACCTCTGTTCTTGATAGCGTGACGCTAGCGTGAGTTTGTTATTTTTTGTGTTATCTTACTAAATACACTTTGCCTTCCTCACTCCGGGCCATAGATAATATACTGTATAGTAAATATGGTTAATATATATCTTAACTAATGAAATAGATGGTTAAAAAAAATAATAAATTATCATATTCCAGTTCATTCAAAACAATCCACGACGTTACTGATTTGAATTAGCCGCATTTATGCCATCTAGCGTCTTCACCTTCATCTACCACCGTGAGTCGATCTATTTTCGTTCGATAAAATGACTATACCAATTAAATGGAGTAGATGGCGGTTTACAAATCCATTTTATTCGAAAGAAAATATAGTTTAAAAACATCAATAGATGTATTCCTTTGATTTATTACATTAAAATTTAGGCTTCACATGTCTAATAAATGAGGATTTTAACAAATATTTGCTATAAAATCAAACTCATATCCAATATTTTATGCTCAAATTGTGGTTGAAAATTATCATATTAAATAAATTGTTTGCCGTTTAATCTTTTGAAGTGTTATTTTTACTGAACTGTACGAAATGATATTTTTAACACATAGATATAATTACTGACTGAATTCATTAGTGGCTGATGTTAATTTTATGCACTTTGTTGTTACGCTATTGGCTGAAATATTGGTTGGTATTAATGTAAACGAAGCGCGTCAGTTTAATGTTACTTAAGTATATTTATACTTAAATACGTCTTTGACATAATATTATTGGAATATTTTAGTGAAAACTTGTGTGTATTTAAACTACTTTATAAAATTTACGTATAATCATGTTATACGTAATTTTTTTATTTTTATTTACCAATAGTTTTATTTTTATTTATAATACTATACCAAATAAGATTAATTTAGAAATATTTTGCTCACATTTCATTACTGTATTAACTTTGATTCTTATTTCTTTACAGATGAAAACGACTTTTATTATACACCAGTTGAAAGAAGTTTCGCCCAAGTTCAACCATCTCTGTTTCCAAATACACGAACCGGCTCTTTCTTTGAAAACGCAGATAGTTTTAGAGTAACATCTAATACTCAACAACCTTTATATAACAATGGTCAAGTACGTTTTCCAAGTCCAAATTACAATCAAAATCCGTCACCTTTTCAGTTGCCAACAGGGAGAAGCCAATCTGGTACCCAGTATTATGTAAATCAACCAGAATTTAGTTCATCACAGCGACAAAGGTTTAGGCCATCTCTACCATACAATTATCAAATTGTCCATCCAGCATCTACAAAGAGGCCTGATGTAAGTCCAGTTCACTCTGTAGCTTACCAAAATGATCCAACAAAGCAGGAAACATTTTTAGGGCAGATAACAATTAACAACCCTGATATTGATTACTTACAAAACAGTAGATTTAAAAATTTACCATTTGATGGCAATAGTTTAAAAAGTAATGGCCAAAGTGGTCATATAATACATGATGGGGATATTGAAAATGATAACCAAGATCTCTTTGACCAACATAGAGTAACAACATATAATCCAAATAGATTGGTATCCAAGCAAAAAGTACACATAAAACCAAATGGTTCTAGGTATTCTCATTTTAACTCCCCTTCAACGGCTAGTAAGTCTAGTCCTATTGGATTAGTGAACGATAAATACGTATTACGTAACCATTCGAATATACTTAAAAACTTGGATCTATATGATGGTTCTTCAACTGAATATAAATCACTGTTAGACATAGAACCGCTACTCGAGGATGATATACGTGATATTAGTTCATTCAAAGAACTAATGAAAAAAACTCATAACTCTTTTGATGTACAAGTAATAAAAGCAAATAATGATACTGAATTAAATTTACCTAATGACAACAAAGCTGATGCAAGTTTCGTTAGCCCTGACAATATAGATAAAGATTTATTAAAATCACCTTTACCAGTTGAAGTATCAAATAAGCCATATGTACCTACAACAACAAACAGAGCTGCAACCACAGAAGATTTAAATAATGATGAAAGTGAAGAAGAAGATAATGAAGAGGAATACGTGGAGTACTATGACGAACCCGATAATACGGAAGAAAAACCTACCACCAAAGAACCTGTCTCTGCAACAGAGCAAGTAACGGATATATATGATGAATACGACGCAACTGAAGAACCAGAAAAAGACAATAACGATGTTACTACAAGCACCATGAGAACCTTTGATGTCCTTGTAATGAAACCCGGAAACACAATGGTAAAGGATGACAACTTCAAAGAGTTTACTGATACCACTGTAATAGACCAACTCAATCACGAATTAAATAACTCTACTGCTCCTAATGTTAAAGTTTATACCAACAAAGATGTATCTTCCGTTGAAATTCCATCGATTTTGGGTCAAGAAGTCGTTTCTGTAGTAACAACTAAAAGTGTGGTCAACGGAACTATATCCATTCCAGATGTGACTTATCCTCCAAGCTCTCCAAGACCTATAGAAAAAACTTCACCGGTCCATTTAAATATTGATCAAAACAATGATGAATTACCTCCTGTTACGACTGAAAATTGGGTTGTCGTTGCGTCAGTACAAACAAGTCGTAGTGTATCGGGGGCCCGCTTTTTACCTTTTCCTACAGTTGAGCAAGAAGAGAAAAAACAAGTTTTAATAGACGAGAAAGAAGAGGAAGAAACTGTAACTAACAGTAATACTGAAGAACAAAGTAGTCTTATTAACAGTTCTTCTTCTACTGAAAATATAAACGATAAATTAGATAGTATTCAGTCCGAATTATCAAGCAGTGTTTTATCAGGAAACTTAAATAGTGACAACAAGAATATTGAACTTATAACGGAATCAACAACGGAACAATTGAACTCTACAACTAACAATATTGTTCTTACTACAACTCCATCGTCATTAAATGTTTTTACATTAAAAAGCACGCAAATCTCCTCAATTGCTGAAAAATCTTCACCTGATCCATTACCTGTTTTAATAAAGAAGTTTACGCCACGCGTTTCATCATCTACTACAGCAAAACCAAGAAAAAAGCCATCTTTTGTAACTGTTATGGATGACCTTTCTGGGTTCTTACCTCCAGGCTTTAAACCCAAACTTTCATTTAAAGATAAACGTACGAGCACGACAACAACGACTTCCACAACTTCAACCACTACAACAACTACGACTACAGCTAGTCCATTATCTTTTAAGCAAACATCTATTATAAACGGAACACAAGGGAGATCCTCCGGATTAAATTCTAAAAACAAAGTTATAATACTCGATGACAAGTCCCTTCTTCCAAAGGAATATAGACCAAAGGAAAGTAAACCTCAAGAAGATTTAGTACAGAAGATTCAAAAAGATGATCTAAGTAAATTCTTACCTCCCGGCTATACATCTCCAGTTACAGAACAACCGCAACCAAAAGAAATCAACATCTTGGAAAAGGTGCCTAAAATAGATATCACTGCATTTTTACCTAAAGGATTTAAGTTAAATGAAACTTCCACTATAAAACCTGATACTGATACTTCTAAAAGTAAAACTCAATTACCGTCGAAAGCTATATCTCTCGATATATCAGCTCTTCTACCCCCAGATTATAAAGTAAATACCAGTGAAATAAATAACGGTGAAAATTTGTTAAATAAGTTTAAAATAGCCGATATTTCAAATTTGCTTCCTCCTGGTTTTAATCAAAATACATCTGATGAATCCACTCAATCAACTACAAGCACAAGTACCAGTACCAAAAAACCAGGTGGAATAAAGTTGGTTTTCCCATCGAGACCGGGTGGGAAATCTGTACGAAAAACTACGCCCAAATACGATACAGAAATGGGACCGAATCCAGTGACACCAAAGATTCAAAAAGGCTGGCCTACAAGGTAAATAGTGAATATGTATATATTAGAATTTCGTTTGTAAAAATGATGTCTTTATTAGCACTTATTTTTTAGGGCATCTACTGAATTTACTGGCTGGCCATCACCTTCTACTACTCCATTCTCTATCGAAAAACTCTTGGAAGCTCAAAGAAATGCAACTGCTACAACTCCATTCAATATCCTGAGCACTGAACCTACGACTCGACGAATAAAAACTACGACCACGACAACTATTGCACCTCCCCCTCCAACCACGCCTGGGGTGTGCCGACATGAATGTGATATTGCAGCTACTATTAAAATAGTTGCAGGTATTTGAATTATATTTAATATTCTATTTGACCAATATTCTAAAACTCGAATAATTTATGTCTTTGGATTTTCACGTGTGCTCATTATGTTTATTACCATAATCAGCGGATTATCATAATTAATATGATAGATATATGTATGGTCAACGTATTATCACATTACTTAAGATATGTTAGTATATCCATGATAGTAAATCACTACACTTCTATCGTCAGCAGGTATTTGATTAAAGTAGGCTATTAATTTTCCGTTTTTTCTCTTTACAATATTTATATAATATACAATAACTTATAAAATAATATTGACTTAAAATTAATTTAGTAAAATGTATAATCAGATATTCACAAATATTTACTATTCCATTTATAGGTGTTAAATGGGTCCCTGAACTATTAGATCATCATACTGAGGAATGGCAAACATTGGCAAAGGAAGTAAAAGACGAGGTAAATATATTTTATATTGTCTTTAATAAATTTGATGACATAATCATATTAAGCAAATAATATTTTTGTGGTTTAATTAACTTTTATATGAAAATGGCTCTAAATGAGTTAAAATATTAAAATCACGAACATGAAATGAATATACAGTTCTTTTTAATGTTACATTAGGGCTTAAATGATTTAACATCACATCAACAGCCAGTAGTCCACAGCGGGGTATAGGGCTTTCGAACAATGGCATGTCTTTTTTCTAAAATTTTCCTATACTTACCCTGCTAAACAAGAGAATTGATAAGCGCAGTACCCATACCATTACGAAAGTAATGCTGCTTCCTATAACTGATATAGAAAATACAAATGTATATACAGACGCTTTTGTTCTGCCATCAGGCGCCAAAGTCTTGTCGTTTTTAAAGAACTTACTAACATATTTCCCGTATAATAAGATACTCAAAGTGATTCAGTCTTAGCATATAGGTATTCAATTTTTCACATTCTTTCAATACAGCCCATCAAAAGTACTGTTAGTGAGGATATTTGCCGTTTTATATATTAAAAATTACGATGGAATAGTTAAACCCCATTGCGCTTACATATTTTTTGTAATGAAAGTTTTAAACTACTGGGCGTTATAATAATTTAACTTTTAAAACCTGGAAAATTATTTGTAGGTGATTAAAAACAAATATTTATAACAATATTTACTGATGTGTTTCAGCTGAATTCTGTCTACACAAAATCAGAACTTCTGAAGAAATGGTATAAAGGTATTCGCATAGATGGATTTACTCAGGGATCTGTACTTGTAGACTATATTATTGAACTAAACGACGTTCAAGAAAAGGTGGACACCTTACAACTGAAACGATTATTCCATAAATCTCTTCACGATGCAAAAACAGGTTCTGTAACTGAAGAACAACTTATTAATGAAGAATTCGATCCAGATGTTATGTTAGGGGATCAACCCGATGAAGATAAAATGAAAAAAAGTAATGAAAAAATGACAAAAACTATTGATAAATCAGCTGGAAAGTTAGAAATGGGAAAATTTGTGATGGACCCGGCTTATACAGAATTCATTGGTAATGTTCAATGTCGCTTTATAAGTAGATTTACCATTTATTTACACATATTATCATACATATAATAACTTCATTAGTTGCTATGTAAGGGTTTGTACGATCTTTTTTTATTACAGTTTTACCCAAACGCGAGGAACCGACTATAAAAGAACCTGATGAAGAAGCGTTCTTACCGCAATGGGGTATTGCAGTTATTGTCATTGCTATGGCTTCACTTCTCTTCGTTATTATTTTTGGTGTTACTGTCGTATGTATCAAATAAGTATAATATCAATAAATGAATGCTACCTTTAAAGGTAATTAGTTGTAATTTACTTACTTATTTTTATTATAGCTTGTTAATCGTCAAAAAAGTGCAAAAGCAAAGCAGCCAATACCTTTGAGCGAAGATATGCTCCGCGAGTTGGATAAAAGCCATATGGGAGGTTTTGAAGATACACATCATACAAAAGAACGAGATTTACCTTATCTACCATCAGGGAAGGTGAGTTAATAAGGCTGTAAAATTAGAAGGGAATAGAAAACCAGTATAACTGAAAACTATAAAGCGTCCCCAGTTGGCCCTTGATGATAACGATATCACATTAAATACATTACTTATAGGCGCTATTATACAAAAGGTAACGTAATACTTTAAGGTTATGATTTTATTAGTTTGTGGCTTGGTTATTTTCCAGAAAATATTTCTAAAATAAAAACAAATAATACATAAAGATGTATGGATTTAAAATATGTATTAGAATCTTATCTAAAATTTTGACCAATTTTTGCTGCTTTTTTCTATACGCTTAAGGCTAAATAAAGGCTTCTGTAAATTGAATTTCCATGTTATAGTTGTTTGCATTTCAAGCATTTGAACTAAATAGTTGCCTTGTCGTTCGCAAGACGTACAATAAATGAATAATGTCATATGTCATTGTCTGTCCTTCCCTTCAATTACAACGGAAGTGCCGTTAATGCGTAAGCGAATAGGGTTTTATAATAAAAGCCAGTGGATTTTATCACATGAGACTATATCACTTTATCAAGCGTTATGATAGCTTCTGAAACCACAGCGAATATAATCGCTAATGGAGAATATAGTCTATCACTGTCTTCTCATATGCTAATTGTAAACATCATCAACATTATTAACATTACAGCCCAGCATCTGAACATAGGCGGGAGGTCATATTCAAGGCATCCATCGACTTCCTGCATGTCTTACCAGGTCGTCACTCCATCTAGTGGGAGGACACCCTACACTTCGTTCGCCGGTACGAGGCCGCCACTCGACAACCTTTTTTCCCCAATGGTTGTCGGTTCTTCTACCTAAATGGCCCGCCCCTTGCCACTTCAGCTGACTAATCCATTGGGCTATGTCGGTCACTCTAGTTCTACTGCGGATATCCTCATTTCTAAGTTTATCACGCAGAGAAACTCCGAGTAGCCCTCTCCAAAGCACGCTGAGCAACCTTGAACTTCCTCACCCGGCCAGCAGTGAAGGACCACGTCTCAGTTCCATAGGTCATCACTGGCAACACGCACTGGTTGTACAGTCTCGTTTTCAATTCTGACGAGATGTGCCGTAACTTCCCGAACTCTGCCCAACCGAGTTGAATCCGTCGATTGACCTCACGATCAAAGTTATACTTACCTAGTCGGACTATTTGCCCCAGGTAAACATACTCGTCAACAACTTCAAGCTTGGTGCTCCCAACAACTACAGGCATATAGGTGTGACATGGACATTAAACATGATCTTTGTTTTGTCCATGTTTATCTTAAGACCTATCCGTTGGGAGACACTATTGAGGTCATTGAGCATAGCGCTTAGGTCCTCCAGCGATTCTGCCATAAGGACTATATCGTCGGCAAATCGAAGGTGAGTGATGTACTCGCCATTGATGTTAATACCGTATCCTTTCCAGTCCAGTAGCTTGAAAACGTCTTCCAATGCAACGGTGAAGAGTTTCGGGGATATAACATCGCCCTGTCTTACATCTCTCTGCAGTTGGATCCGTTTCGTACTCTGGTTCTGTACTCGGATAGCCATCTGAGCCCTACTGTACAAATACTTCAGCACTTCGATATACCGATAGTCAACTTGGCACCGCTGAAGTGACTGTAGCACCACCCAAATTTCGACGGAATCAAAGGCTTTCTCATAGTTCACATACGCAATGCAAAGTGGCAGATTGTACTCATCTATCTTCTGTACATTTTGCCGAAGGGTGTGTATGTGCGGCTTGTTTGGGAGGCTGGAAGTCGTCGAGTCTGCGTGCGAGACGATTTGTAATGATTCTCGAAAACAGCAGGTAGGCGCGGTTCAGAAGGGAAATCGGTCTGTAGTTCTTCAAGAGAGCGTTATTGCCTTTCTTGACGAACAAGACCACAGCACTTCTGCCCCATGTCTCCGGAGTAGTACCACGATGGAGAACGGAACTAAAGAGCTTCTGACTGTTCCACTGTTTCCACTGTAATTACATGCTCGCCCGAGAACTTGCCGTTTTTAAGGTGCTGGAGAGCCATTCTAATATCGCTCAGACTGACGTCTGGAATATCTTCGGAATAGTGTCGGATAAGACTCGCTTTTGGATCGTTACTCATACTTGCCAGTGGCTCCAACGATGACGTGTACAGCTGCCCATAGAACCTCTCAATCTCACTCAAAATCTCAGGTGTCCCGGAAACGATGCTGCCACACTCATTCTTCATCTTTGACAGTTGGCTCTTTCTGGCAGACAGATCTCTGGCAAAAACTTTGGAGTCTTGGTTCCGCTCGATCGCTTCTTCAATACAAGCTGTATTGAAGTTGCGTAAGTCCCGCTGCATGCATTTGGAAATCTGTCTGTTCAGTTGCCTGTATGCTGCCAAATCTGTTGAAGACTGCAGCTTCATTTCACGTCTAACAGCCATGAGATTAAGAATGTTATCGGAGAGTTTTTGTGTTCTTCTTTGGCGGGTCTTGCAGAACTTAGCTCCGACCGCATGGACAGTTTCCACGAGGTTGTCATTCATAAAGTCCACTTCATTGCAGTCTTCCAGATACCGAAAACGGCTTTTTAACTCGAGCTGAAAGGTTTCGGGACTAGAGCATGAGGGGGACGGAGCGTTGACTTCATTAAACGAGACCTCTCCAACTTAATGTTTGTGTTTTTGGTGCAGTGTGCATTTAACCATTCGGTGATCGCTAAAAGTTCTGACCCTCGCGATCAATGAGACATCACTGAACAGTTGTGGTCTGGTCGTCATAATGAAGTCAATCTCATTTTTTGTCGAACCGTCGGGGCTCGACCAGGTCCACTTCCTGTGAGGTCGCTTCTGGAAGAAAGAGTTCAGCATAAAAAGTCCCTTTTTCTCCATGAAGTCGGCCTATTCTAAATTTCCCTACTTTCAGCTCCCCGTTCTCTCTTGTGTCTAGTTTTGCGTTGAAGTCTCCCATTAATACCGTATGGCTCTAGAGATATCCTCATATATTTCCTCCACCTCCTCATCGGGGTGTGCCGAAGTTGGTGCTTAAACCTGTATGACCTTCAGAGAATACCGTTTGGTGATTCTGAGTATGAGGTACGCAACCTTCGTCGATACACTCCCGATCTTTACAAAGGTTACGAGAGACTTGTGGGCGATAAATCCGACACCATCTTGGGACAGATGGTCGCCCTCCCGGTGATAGAACAAGTTGCCGTATACGAGGATTACCGTGTCCTCCCACTCTCATCGGACCTCTGATAATTCTATAATATTCCAGCGCAACTTTTCTATCTCTTCTTCCGGCTCCAGAATCTTCTCGTCAGTCCTCAGGGTGCGTGCGTTATAAGTTGCCAGGTCGAGTCGTCGTAGGTGGCAACCGATCCTCCACTAGAGATTCTTAGCATCCCCTGTCTCCCCGTTACCATCGTCGCCACCGTAGCCAGGAATAGCGGGGCCGCAGGGGACTGGGGGCCATCTTTTCATAACTTTATTCATTGGGGGGTATGTTGTTATAGTTGCCACGCTTGGCGAGCGGGTTGGCAACCGCAGTTGTTTTGTGATATTGCTGTTATCAGGAAGATGCTGCTGCCCATCTCCTGCCTGTTTCCCACTGTCGCCTTTTACGACACCCACGGGAAGATATGGGGTAGTGGATAGATAATCTTACCCGCCACTACACAGCATTTTGTAAATACTAGGAAACAAATAAATTTTTAAAATCATATGATATTAATTTAAATGCTTTTTTAGAGATAAGAATAAATTGTATTAATATAAATGCTTTTCCAGAGAATGTCAACAGCGTTCATTGAACAGCTTGCATATCCAAACCCTGGGGATTCATGGAGGTCGGAATGGACACCACAGTTACATAAATATATGCAACATTATACACCAGACTCTGGCCGTGGCTCGCAGACGTATGGAGCTACTGGAAATGGTTACGGGTCAGTACGAAGTCCAAATCGTAGTTATATTTGAAAGATATACAAGAGACCTTATATGAATATAAATAAAATATAACACAAAGCAATCATTTATTAATGATTTCAATTTTTTTACGCAGTTACGGAGGGTCTCAACATTATGGACAGACAGGTGGTGGATCGCAAGTATACGGGTACACTGGCGAGTATCCTCGCTCTCACCACTCGCGCCGCCGTTCCGACTATGACAACAACTTCTAAAAATATTTGTATATTTTTTTCGGATACTCACTAACTCAGACTTGACTCTCTTGACAATACCATCTCTTCAACTTTCAAGTGTAGGGTTTAGTGAAAAGTATAGATCAACCATATCTTTTAGAATTTTATTTTTCTTAGCTACCGAACACCAGGTTGTGAAATTGATAATTTTATGACGATTTTAACACACAACATGAAAATTTTGTCGCAGCGACATCGACATTAGAATTTATTCGAATTCTTCACAAAAAAAGTAGATTAACGATTTTACGTATTATTATATTTTAGTAGCTTACAGACCGGCCTATTTAGAACTGCCTATAGTGGCAACGTGATACTAACTTTACTTTTGAAATTTTCAGGCTTTATTTAATTTATGGGTATTCGATGTTCCCTTGTGAGTGTGATTTTTTTTAAATTTTTAATAAAGCCAGCCAATATTTACCATGTTTTAAATTATTCTTCGTCATTATTGTAATACATACGACTGATTGCGAGTGTAAATAAATAAATATAAATACTCACCCATATGACCCAATATTTGCGGTGAGGCTGTATTGTATTTTCTGTAGATATCTCTTTGCATACCTATATTTGCTCAGAACCAGTAGTAATGATAGAAGGCAGTATGTGTGCATAAAATGCGTAATTGTGCCAAATATTAAAGCGTAGATGTGTGTAAAAATGGTGAAATTGTATTTTTTCGTGTTCAGAAGTTACTTTGGGTGGCGTACTGCCAATATTGTGCCACCTGGTAACATAAAAATGAACTGTGCTAAATTGTGTTCGAATTCTCAGGCACAATCCTATTACATAAATAAAGGGAATGAAATGAAATCATGCCTTTCAAACCACATTATTAAATTAAGAACTGTTTTATGAAGTAACGTCAATTTAAACTAGTATTAATAATAAGTATGAAGTAACAATGTTATAGTTTTTAAAAATAATGATTTTGAAAAAAAAATGTTTTCAAACAAATATTTCAATTTTTAATATTTTCAGATCAGATTTCAAGGAAGTCTTAAATTGCAAAATAGGTGTTGATTGTAAATTCCTGTTATATCAACAATGTTAATGTGTCTACCAAGTAATATAGTATTAAATATGAATGCATGATTCCTGTATATAAAATTTTTGTACATGTAGGTCCATAATTTAATATTAATAATAATTGACAAATAAGCGTTTAAGATCAATAATATAGACTACATAATATGTCTGAACTTTGTTTTATTTAGCAAATAATTCACATTTTTCATGAACAAAACATTTCAAAAAATATTTCTAAAAATATTTTATACGTGGTAGAGCTATGCTGCAGCTATATTTGTAGTATAGTTGTAGTACGAATGGGTCGGCTAGACCGGGGAAGGACCACGCTCTCATAGAATACCAGCGTAAAATAGCAGCTTAACACTGCTGTGTTTCGCATGGTGAGTATAGAGAACCGGAGACCCTTTTTACTGGATAAGAGGCATTCCATCTTAGTCCTCACGAGTGACAACGCATCTGCATTTTGATTCGCAAACGAGGATAGATGTAGATGTCTATAGGCCACAGCAACCACTTACCATCAGGTGGACTGTGTACTCCTTTGTCACTCGATCCTATTAAAAAAACACATAGTCGTTGTCGTCATTCTGATCAAGTCGTAGGTACAGTTACAAAACTATTGAAAGGATCACATTATTACTTTACACATAAGAAACGAATTGTAAAACATGTCTTAAGAGTGTACCAAATCTAACGGTTATTAATGTGATGTAGCACTTGAAGCATTACATCTTAGTAATAAACGTATGTAATATATCTGTTGACTGACTGATGGCAGAAGATCAATCCAAATATGATGCAAAAAGTAAACTCTCACCAGGCTGTGGGGCTGGTGATGGTAATCAATATAATTTTAATTACATCAATATAATTACAGACCATCAGAAGTCCTCTACTGAACAAAGCCTTCCTCCAAGGAATGTCACAAATCACGGTCATGAGCCACCTAAATCTATCAACTAGAGTAACCAACATAATCCAACGAATCAGTAAGCTGAAGTGGCAATGGGCCGGCCATAAAGCTCAAAAAATCGATAACGGATTGGACAGAAGGATTCTTGAGTGGTAGCTTCGTAAGGGTAAGCGAACTGTAGGGCGGCCCCCCACCAATTGGCTTAACGAACTAGTAAGAGATGCAGGAAGTCGATAGAAGCAGGCAATCTATATCTAGCAATCAAAACACGTGCCCAGAGTTGTAAGAGTTTAATTATGTATAATAGAAAAAATATTACCAAACATTTGGTTTTCTAGATGTTTTCCTACTTTCTGTTGTTGTTGATTTAGTGCATATTAAAATACCTAAATATGTTTTTTGTAAAATCAATTTTTTTATGTACTTAACCTACGTTTAATAAAAATACGATTAAATAAATTAAATTAAAATTAAATTTTGTGCAAGCCGACCTAAGCAACGATTCGCGTCGATGACTTCATGTTTTGGGGATTTTTTGAAGGGTAATATCGTGTATCGTGTAAGTATGGTGTGAGCAGATTATTTGCAGAAAATTATAGCTTTAGAAAGATGAAGTCTTTATTTTGTGCACTACAAAACAAAATCATTATTTTCAACGACGGTTTTTATAGCGAAGACAATCCCTCCATAGTGTTTTATGAAAATATGCGTCAGTATTCGCGACGTCTTGTTAAGAACATAGGAAACCTCGCACCCTGCCTGCGCGAGCACATTTGAGATGTCCTATGCCTTGAACGTCTTCTTCACCGCTGGCGAGATCCGCGTGAGCTCCGGGAGTGACACTCAATATCGAACACTAGCGTAAACGAACGCTTCCCGTACATTCTATTATGTTTTGCATCAACATCTTAATTTCTACATATTATGTTAATTAGAATCGAATAAACCTATGAGTACTACAATCTACTCGTGTATCAATCAACAAAAAAGCGTTTCTTCGATTACAAATGAACAGGAAGCATATCGGCAAATAAATCTAAGCGTCATTATGGCAGCCATTATGTGTACTTGAAAATTCTTCAGAATTAAAAGAATATGGATATGGAGAAATAAAGACCCAAAATGGAAAACAGCACTGAGTTCGTTCGTTACAATTCCTTTCTCATACTTATATATCTAGGTGATATCCATTTTCAATTGTGTCAATTGTTCAATTGTGTCCGATTTCTACTGCATTTTTCGTAAAATTATTTTGAGACATCTAAGTTTCAACAATAATCGTAAAATTATTCCTATAACATATTTCTATAGATAAGCACGTAATAAGCTTGTTATTTCATTACATTTATACATATTGCATGTTGCATATTTCTTACATGTTCGTTCTTATTATCGACTTATAAATTTACAGCCTTATTTATAATATTTATTATCTTCTTTAGTTGACGTCGACTTTTGTGAGTAAAGTATATAAATATAAAACAATATAATACATATACCCATACATAAACTTACATATCAAAAATTATTTAATACATGCATAGTATTATACATAAATTATGTACACCGAAATAATAAATTACATACATTATATATTTATATAAATACATAAATAAATACTACTAATGAAATTATAATGTTCGCGAACTTTCTTCTTGAATGTATAACAATTATTAGCCGTTCTAATTTCAAGAGGGAGGGCGTTCCAGAGGAGAACAGACTGTACAGTGAAGGAAGAATTATGATTATGTTATTAAGCCAGAATTATGAGAGGGACACTTTAGTAAAAGATTGTAAGAAAAACACGGGTTTCTTTCATGGCTAGTGCAAAGGTACTGAAAATGGATAGGAGACATCAGAATGGAGTATAAAGTTGTGAGTGCGCGCATACTTCGTCGCTGACGAATGTGTATATGTAGATACGTGGTCATATTTACGAATATTAAAAATTTATCGAATGCAGTTATTTAGAAGACGATCATATGTGTCAAGAAGGTCTGCATTCAGACCAAAATAACACACATTACCGTAATCAATCAGGGGAAGAATTAAGGATTGCACAATTAATGCTTTGGTCCCGGATGGAAGGAGGTTTTTCAGACGGTAAAGAGCCCGCAAGGTACCGGTGACTTTCTGGCTAACATTTGTCACTTGGGCATGCCAGCTCAAAGTGGAGTCAATGTTTAAGCCAAGATCCTTAACAGAAGGACCTCCTAATTCCAAACAAAACCGTTCAAAATGATTGCGGGTAGAGCTGTATTGTCTATTTTTTTTAATTGTGCGATGGCTACCTATTATTATTGCCTGACACTTGGATGGATTAACAGATAAACCGAACCTGTCAGACCAGTTATTAATATGCTCTAGCTCCTTGTTTACCATATCCACCGCGGCGGACACCCAATTAACATTCGCCTATGCGTACAACTGTAGGTCATCGGCATATAGATGATAGGTACACTGAAGGTTGTGGGTGATAAGATTAATAAATACTGAAAATAACAATGGAGACAGAATACCGCCTTGAGGGACACCAGCATTTATGTCACACCAGCTTGATGCAGACTCACCAATGCGGGCCGACTGCTGATGTTCCCGAAGATAAGTTGAGAACCAATCTAGTACTTTGGAAGAAATCATGGAATGGGAAAGGATAGAAAGTAGGATGTCATGACTTGACTTTTCAAACGCCTTCAATACCATCATAGAAGGCGTTTGAAAAGTCAACCAAAGCCAGTACAGTGACTTCGATGTCCTCCAGGCCTGTCCTAATGTGACCAGTGACCTTAAGAAGAGCGGAAACAGAGTTGTGAAGCCAGACTGAAAAGGGCTTAATAAATTGTTACTATAAACAAACAGAGATAGTTGCCTATGTACACAGGCTTCAAGTACTTTGGATAGGAAAGGAAGAATGGATATAAGTCTGAAGTGATTTGACAAAGGATTGGAAGTTTTCGGCAAGGGAATAACGTAGGCCATGCGCCACAGCGACGGGAAAACTCCGGAATCTAGGGAGAAGTTTATGGGAAAT